TAGCAGGTTCATTCATTCATTCAATAAGTAAATACTTATGGAGCACTTACTCTGGGCTCTCGTAACCATTGTAGTTATGAACAAAACAGATAAAAATTAAAAAACAAAAATTCCAACCCATACCAGAGTTTAAATTCTACTAAGAAAGATAACACAAAAATATTGAGAAAAGTAAAGTACGGTCAGGAAGATGTTGAAATTTTGGATAGGTTGGCTGGCAGAGACCTCTCTGAGAAGGTGGACTTTTTTTTTTTTTCGAGACAGAGTCTTGCTCTCTCACCCAAGCTGGAGTGCAGTGGCAGGATCTCGGCTCACTGCAACCTCTGCCTCCCGTGTTCAAGCGATCCTCCTCCCTCAGCCTCCTGAGTAGCGGGAATTGCAGGTGAGCACCACCATGCTCAGCTAAGTTTTGTATTTTTAGTAGAGATGGGGTTTCACCAGGTTGGCCAAGCTGGTCTTGAACTCCTGACCTCAGGTGATCCGCCCACCTTGATCTTCTAAGTTTTGGGATTACAGACTTGAGCCACTACGCCTGGCCTTATTTTATTTTTTTTAAGACAGAGTCTTGCTCTGTCGCTTAGGCTGGGATGCAGTAGTGTGATCTTGGCTAATTGCAACCTCCATCTCCTGGGTTCAAGAGATTCTTCTGCCTTTTCCTCTCAAGTAGGCTGTTGCCCAGGCTGGAGTACAGTGGCACGATCTCAGCTCACTGCCACCTCCATCTCCTGAGTAGCTGGGATTACAGGCTCCTGCCACCATGCCGGGCTAATTTTTGTATTTTTAGGTAGAGACAGGGTTTCACCATGTTTACCAGGCTGGTCTCAAACTCCTAACCTCAGGTGAACCACCCGCCTCAGCCTCCCAAAGTCCTGGGATTACAGGCGTTAGCCACCGCATCTGGCTAATTTTTTGTATTTTTAGTAGAGACAGGGTTTCACCATGTTAGCCAGGCTGGTCTCGAACTCCTGACCTCAAGTGATCCACCCAGCACTCCAAAGTGTTGGGATTACAGGCGTGAGCTACTGTGCCCAGCCAACTTCATCTACTTAAAAAAAAAAAAAAATGGAGTCTTGCTTGTTGGCCAAGCTTGTCTCAAGCTCCTGGGCTCAAGCAATTTTCCCCCCTCAGCATCCTGAGTAGCTGTGATTACCCTTGTGAGCTACCACACCTGGCACTTCATCTACTTAAAGTGTACAATTCAATGAATTTTAGTCAATTCACAAAATTGTGCAACCATAACCATAGTTAATTTTAGAACATTTTCATCGACCCCAAATAAACTTTGTATCTATTGCAGTTGCTTGTTTCCCCTACATATCCCACCCCAGGCAACCACTAAAGGACTTTCTATCTCTGGATTTGACTTGTCCGAACAGTTCATATAAATAGCACATGTTTGGGGGTTAGGTGGCTTTTTCTTTTCTTTTTTTGGAAGGTGGACATGTGACCACTGAAAAAGATTACAATGGTGGGGCCAGGCACAGTGGCTCACGCCTATAATCCCAGCACTTTGGGAGGCTGAGGCAGACAGATCACTTGAGTCCAGGAGTTGAAACCAGCCTGACCAACATGGTGAAACCCCGTCTCTACTGAAAATACAAAAATTAGCTGGGTGTGATGGCGGAAGCCTATAATCCCAGCTACTCTGGAACCTGAGGTGGGAGAATTGCTTGAATCTGGGAGGCAGAGGTTGCAGTGAACCGAGATCGCACCACTGCACTCCAGCCTGAGCAACAGAGTGAGACTCCATCTCAAAAAAAAAAAAAAAAAAAAGATTACGAAGGTGGGTTTGAAACATTAGGGTAGGGGTTAGAGGCTCTTCTGGAGGGGACAATGGTGATAGATGGAAAAGCAGAAGAGAGAGATAACTCACTTCTGTTTTATTTTTTATTGCTCTATTTTTGCTTTAGGCACCGTGAATGTAGGCAGGATAGAAATCATAAGTACACCAAAGTGGGAAGTGCTACAAATTAAATTGTTTGCTTTTATTCCTGTGGATAATTTTCTTTCCCTGTTTTAACATATTTATGCCTTCTATTTGCTAACACTGTGTAAAGGAACTGATTATGAAATCAGAAAACCTGGGTTCTTCCTCCTAATGTGACTTAGCTGCTGTCAAAGTTTCCTTGTCTGCGAAATGAGGGGGTTAGAGTACAGTGGACACCCCGTTATCCTCTCCAGCGTCATCCCCTGAGTGCAGGCAGTCACTTTTTCAGGGATCTGTTGACAGTCCCTATTTTATTTTTAGGTGCCAAGGCAGCCTTTCTCCTCCTTTTCTAGAACTTTTGTGTACAGAAAGTGAAGGTGGGGTTGGGCACCATAGTGAGATGCCATCTCTCCAAATAAAAAAAAAAATGGAAAAAAGGCTGGGTGCAGTGGCTCTCGCTTGTAATCCCAGCACTTTGGGAGACCGAGGTGGACGGATAACCTGAGCTCGGGAGTTCGAGACCAGCCTGATCAATATGGAGAAACCCTGTCTCTACTAAAAATACAAAATTAGCCAGGTGTGACAGCACATGCCTGTAATCTCAGCTACTCTGGAGACAGGCAGAATCGCTTGAACTCGGGAGGCAGAGGTTGCAGTGAGCCTAAATCTCGCTATTGCAATCCAGCCTGGGCAACAAGAGTGAAACCCCATCTCAAAAAAAAAGAAAAAAAGAAAGCTGGACATGGTGGTGCGTAGCTGAGGCAGGAAGATTGCTTGAACCCAGGAGTTGGAGGCTGCAGTAAGCTAGGACTGTGCCACTGCATTCCAGCCTGGGTGACAGAGTGAGACCCTGTATTAAAAAGAAAAGAAAAGAAAGTGAAGGTGGCTAAATAGCAATGTGAATTGTATAAACAAGAGGTTTACAAAGAATCTTTCCACATGTTACCAAGTGTTTCAAGGCTAAGAACTGGAAGAGACTTTTGAGGACATCTAGTCCTCATAGGACTTAACAATAGGATGAAGAAACAAGCCCAGAAATAGGCTATGACTGCCCAAGGCCACTCATCGAGTGAACGTCAGAGCCAGGGCCAGCTCTTGGCTTTAGGCCAGATAAGCCCAGTGACTGTTCAGAAATGGGGCCTGTCAGACGGGACAGGCTCCTTGGAGGTGGTCCGGTGAGTCCAATCCCTCTTTTTGCAGCGGCTTAGATGAGGGTCCACTGAGGATTCTCAGAATTTGCTGGATCTGGGCGGGAACAATGGCTCATGCCTGTAATCCCAGTACTTTGGGAGGCCTGAGGTCAACAGTTCGAGACCAGCCTGACCAACATAGTGAAACCCCATCTCTACTAAAAATACAAAAAATTAGCCGAGCGTGGTGGCAGTCGATTGTAATCTTAGCTACTCAGGAGGCTGAGGCAGGAGAATCACTTGAACCTGGGAGACGAAGGTTGTGGTGAGCGGAGTTCATGCCATTGCACTCCAGCCTGGGCAATAAGAGTGAGACTAAATGGTGTTGGGAAAACTGGCTAGCTATGTGCAGAAAGCAGAAACTGGACCCCTTCCTGACACCTTACACTAAAATTAACTCCAGATGGATTAAAGACTTAAACATAAGACCTAACACCATAAAAACCCTAGAAGAAAATCTAGGCAAAACCATTCAGGACATCGGAGTAGGCAAGGACTTCATGACCAAAACACCAAAAGCATTGGCAACAAAAGCCAAAATAGACAAATGGGACCTAATCAAACTCCACAGTTTCTGCACTAGAGATAGTCACTAGAGTGAATTGGCAACCAACAGAATGGGAAAAATTTTTTGCAGTTTACCCATCTGACAAAGGGCTGATATCCAGAATTTACAAAGAACTCAAACAGATTTACAAGAAAAAAACAAGCCCATTCAAAAGTGGGCAAAGGATATGAACAGATACTTTACAAAAGAAGACATACATGGGGCCAACAAAGACATGAAAAAATGTTCATCATCACTGGTCGTTAGAGAGATGCAAATCAAAACTACACTGAGATACCATCTCATGCCAATTAGAATGGCAAGCATTAAAAAATCTGGAGACAACAGATGCTGGAGAGGATGTGGTGAAATAGGAACGCTTTTACACTGCTGGTGGGAGTGTAAATTAGTTCAACCATTGTGGAAGACAGTGTGGCGATTCCTCAAGGACCTAGAAATAGAAATTCCATTTGACCCAGCAATCCCATTACTGGGTATATATCCAAAGGATTATAAATCGTTCTACTATAAGGACACATGCACACGAATGTTCATTGCAGCACTGTTTACAATAGCAAACACCTGGAATCAACCCAAATGCCCATCGATGATAGACTGGACAGGGAAAATGTGGCACATATACACCATGGAATATTATGCAGCAATCAAAAACGATGAGTTCGTGTCCTTTGTAGGGACATGGATGAACCTGGAGAACATCATTCTCAGCAAACTGACACAAGAACAGAAATGAAATACCGCATGTTCTCACTCATAGGCGGGTGTTGAACAATGAGAACACATGGACACAGGGAGGGGAGCACTACACACTGGGGTCTGTTGGGGGGAATAGGGGAGGGACAGCGTGGGGTGGGGAGTTGGGAAGAGATAGCATGGGAAGCAATACCAGATATAAGTGAAGGGGAGGAAGGCAGCAAATCACACTGCCACCTGTGTACCTATGCAACTATCTTGCATGTTCTTCATATGTACCCCAAAACCTAAAATGCAATAAAAAATAAAAAAATAAAAATAAATAAAACTCTTGTTCTTGTCATTAAAAAAAAAAAAAGAATTCGCTGGATCTGCCTTCCGGGTCTGCCGTGCAGCCTGAATGGTCAACCGGGGAACGTGCGTTTCCCAGGGTCCCCTGGGGCAGAGGCATCTCTCCCTCCGCAGGGCCAGGGAGATTACTCGAGGCAGGTCTCAGTTGTCCGGGGCCGCTTGGGTCGCCCCCCGAGGTAGGAGCCGCGGACAGGACATGCAGGCCGCCCCCTGCTGGTCCGTCTCGGAACCGCCCTGCTGGCCGCGGCTTTTCCAGGGTTGGGGGCGTGGCCTTACAACGGCAAGCCAATCCTAGGCCCCATCGTCATAGGGGTGGGGCATTCACTTCCCCGCCCCTCCCCGCCCCTTGGTTCTCTTTGCGGCGGAAGCTGAGCTGCGACCTAGCTAGCAACCGTTCTTGCAGATCTTACCGCCAGTGACTTGGCTGCGACCCGCCCTTCTTGCCTCAGCCCTTCGGAAAGCGAAGGTCCGTCCCTTCAGGGACTAAAGGACAGGGAGTTTTTTTTCTTTTTCTTTTCTTTTCTTTTTTTTTTTTTTGACACAGAGTCTCACTCAGTCGCCCAGCCTGGGGTGTAGTGGCGGGATCGGCTCATTGAAGCCTCTGCCTCCCGGGTTCAAGCGATTCTCCCGCCTCTGCCTCCCGGTTTCAAGCGATTCTCTCACCTCAGCCTCCCGAGTAGTTGGGATTCCAGGTGTGCACCACTACACCTAGCTAAATTTTGCATTTTTAGTAGAAAACGGGATTTCGTCATGTTGGCCAGGATGGTCTAGAACTCATGGGTTCAAGTGATCCTCCCGCCTCGCCCTCCCAAAGTGCTGGGATTACAGGCGGGAGCCACCACGCCTGGCTGCGATGGGGATTTTGGTTGGTTGGTTGGATGGGGCCTTACAGGTTGGATGTGGTGAGTATGAAACGCACACGTTCAAGAAGCTAAGCCAATGAAGGGCTTACTTAGGTGAAACGAAAATTTGGTGTTTCCAATTCAAATCAGCTGCTCTCTGAGGCGTGGGTGAGGGTATGGGGGTCCAAAAATGCCCGGGTACCACCACCCGAGTTGTTAGTTACACTTTTTTTTTTTTTTTTTTTAAGACAGAGTCTCCATCTGTTGCTCAGGCTGGAGTGCAGTGGCACCATCTCAGCTCACTGCAACCTCTGCCTCCGGGCTTCAAGCGATTCTCCTGCCTCAGCCTCCCCAGTAGCTGGGATTACAGGTACTAATTTTTGTATTTTTAGTAGAAATGGGGTTTCGCCATGTTGGTTAGGCTGGTCTTGAACTCCTGACCACAGGTGATCCTCCCACCTTGGACTCCCAAAGTGCTGGGATTATGGGATTATAGGTATGAGCCACTGCACCAAACCTTAGTTACATCTTTTTTCTTTTTTTGAGATGGAGTCTCATTCTGTCACCCAGTATGGAGTACAGTGGCGTGATTTCAGCTCACTGTAACCTCCACCTCCCGGGTTAAAGTGATTCTCCTGCCTCAGCCTCCTGAGTAGCTGGGATTACAGGTGCCTGCCATGCATGATGCCCGGCTAATTTTTTGTATTTTTAGTAGAAATGGGGTTTCACCATGTTGGTCAGGCTAGTCTCAAACTCGACCTCAGGTACCCACCTTGGCCTCCCAAAGTGCTAGGATTACAGGTGTGAGCCATTGCACCTGGCCTAGATTTTAAAAATATATTTATTTTCTATCAGATAAAGAAGTTTCATTCTATTGTTTTTAATTTCAGTTAATATATATTTTAATTTCTTTTTAAAAATTTTTTATTTTTGTAGATAGAGATGGGTTCTTGCTCTGTTGGCCAAGCTGGTCTCGAACTCCTGGTCTTAAGTGATCCTCCTGTCTTGGCCTCCCAAAGTACTGGAATTACAGGCATGAGCCACCTAAATTTTATATCCACTGGAAGTTTTATTTCTTTAGGGTTTTATCCCAACCAGTCACTTAAAAACCAAGTAACAACAACAACAACAACAAACAAGTAACAATTAACACAGACCTGAGGGGTGGGAGCTGGGGACTGCACTCCCTCCTACTCATGGTAGACAGCAGTGGAGAAGAGGGAGGGGCAGAAGAGATGGCTGACCACAGGCAGCAGCAGCAGTGATGGGGCCATGATGTCACAGAGCCAGCTCTGTCCTCCCCCAGACACTGGGTGGAGCCCCTGTGGCTTGGGGTGGGGAGTGGGGAGAACCCAGCCCAGGCCCTCCCCCTCCCTTCCCCAGACAGCCTCTTTGCTGTCTCAACCCACGTCTTCCAGCAGGAACCTGAGGCCCACGGAGAGGAGGAAGTGGGAGAGGAGGATGCGGGAGAGGCAAGGTGATGGCAGGAATGAAGGCAGAGGTGGGAGGCTGGGCATGGCCACTCCACCCTGTGCCCACCCCGGAGAGGGGTGAGGAAGTCACCATCATGTAGCATCATAGGGACCAGGCATAGTTTAAGGCTGAGGGGCTAGGGCAAGCAGAGCCTTGGCCTCAGTCAAAACTGTGCCAGTGCTGTACTGTGAGTTGTATTCCAGTGCGGCACCCGTGCCCTTGATACCATCCAGCAGCTGGGTGCGTCATGGAATCGGCCCCTGGTTCCAGCGCACACAGGTGCTGGGGCCACCATCACAGGCTAGCAGCATCCCCACTTGGAGGAAGCCTTTGTGCACCGAGTACTCACACTTGACACTGTAACCTTTAGGGACAGGTGTAATGCTGAGGAGCTTGACCAGGCTAGAGACTTGGTGCCTCAGGGACGTCCTTGCTCAGCCTGTGCGGGGTGGGAGGTGGGGGTGCAGAGCGACAGTAATCTCTTACCTGCGCAGGATCTTTGGGAAGCCAACCTTGACCAGAAAGCTAATGTCACTGTGGGTGTCCATGCAGCTTCTCATCAAAGCAGACGTGGCTCTGGGAGCCCTCTGCATTGTGGCCTGCCACAAAGCAAATATTCCTCCGGACTCTGGGCTTGTTGCCCTTGTTGGCTGCAGCCATGGATGCCCTCCCTGCTACACAGCTCCTAGCAGACACCGCCACTCAGACTCAGCAGCCTCCCATGCTCCAGGGACACAAGCAGAAGGCTTGCAGGGTGCACCGGGGCAGGCAGGGCAGGGATGACCCAGGCGTGGCTGCAAGGGCTCAACGCCTCGCACGAGGAAGAACCAGCCTATATTTTTATTATTTATTTATTTTGAGATGGAGTTTCGCTCTTGTTGCCCAGGCTGGAGTGTGATGGCATAATCCTCTACGTCCTGGTTCAAGTTCCTGCCTCAGTTTTCCAAGTAGCTGGGATTACAGGCATGCACCACCAAGTTGGGCTAATTTTTGTATTTTTAATAGAGATGGGGTTTCACCCATGTTGGTCAGGCTGGTCTTGAACTCCTGACCTCAGGTGTTCCACCCACCTTGGCCTCCCAAAGGGCTGAGATTACAGGCGTGATACACCACCAGCAGCCTAATTATTTTCCTTTATTAATTTTTTTTTTTTTATTAAAAAAAATTTTTTTTTTTGAGACGGAGTTTCGTTCTTGTTACCCAGGCTGGAATGCAGTGGCGTGATCTCAGCTCACTGTAACTTCCACCTCCCGGGTTCAAGCAGTTCTCCTGCCTCAGCCTTCCAAGTAGCTGGAACCACAGGCATGCACCACCAGGCCCAGCTGACTTGTATATTTAGTAGGGATGGGGTATCGCCATGTTGGCCAGGCTGGTCTCAAGGCCCTGACCTCAGGTGATCCGCCTGCCTCAGCCTCCCAAAGTGCTGGGATTATGGTCATGAGCTACCACACCCAGCCTTTTTTTTTTTGAAACAGGATCTTGCTTTGTCACCCAGGCAGGAGTGCAGTGACACAATCTTGGCTCACTGCAACCTCTACTTCCCAGGCTCAAGTGATCCTCCCACTCAGCTTTCCAAGTAGCTGGGACTATAGGCACACACCACCCTGTCCAGCTAATTTTTGTATTTTTTGTTGAAGAAGGGGTTTCGCCATGTTGCCCAGGCTGGTCTCAAACTCCTGAGCTTGAGGGATCGCCCACTGTGGCCTCCTAAAGTGCTGGAATCACAGGCTCATGTGAGCCACCGTGCCTGGCCTTGAGTGGGTTTTATTTCCTCCCTCCCTCCCTCCCTCCGTCTCTTTCTGAGTTTGGCTCGTTGCCTAAGCTAGAGTGCAATGGCACAATCTCGGCTCACTGCAACCTCTGCCTCCCAGATTCAAGCGACTCTCCTGCCGCCTCAGCCTCCCGAGTAGCTGGGGTTACAGGCGCCTGCCACCATGCCCAGCTAATTTTTGTATTTTTAGTAGAGACAGGCTCTCGCCATGTTGGCCAGGCTAGTCTTGAACTCCTGACCTCATCAGGTGATCCTCCTGCCTCAGCCTCCCAAAGTGCTGGGATAGGTTTAATTTCTTTTTTTCCCTTATGTTAAATACCAAAGAACTGTGAAATAAAATATATAGCAATACAAGGAAAAACATGAAAAACCATTTTATTGGAAATATTCTAACACATTTTCTGAACTAGTAATCAAAAAATAAATAAGAGATAGAGGATATGAACATATAAATTTCTTACCCTGAAAACAAACAGTACACCTTCTTTTCAAGTTTCATGGACAGTGGACAAAATTCAATAAATATTAAGCTACAAAGAATATTTTGGTAAATTGTGAAAAGTAGAAATTCTAGAAACCATTCTCGGATCAAAATACAATGAAACTAACAATAATATAAAACACACCACTTAGAAATTTTGAGACATAAGTAGCATCTCAAATTATCCTTAGGACAAGATGTAAATCAAGAATTTAAAAAATTTAAAAAACAGACTATTTAGAAAATAAAAAAGGATTAACAGTCAAAGCTATATGCAGAGGTAAAAACAGCATTAAATGCTTTTAGTGTCAAAAAGATAAAATAATAAAATTAAGCATGCAAATTGAGATTTTGGGAAGTAGTATAAAAACAGTCCCCCCCAAATGGGAGAAAGGGAATATTTGAAATAGAAAACAGAAAAAAACAAACACCCAGAGGCAGTGGGATGAGCTTCCTGCCTGTGGACAGAGACACGGTTGGTGGCATCCCCGTGGGCTTGGTCCCTTGGTGTCGACAGACCTGTCCCTCTCAGTCCTCAAGCTCTGCCTGGTGTCCTCTCCTGCTCTCAGGGATGAAGCTGTGTCTATGTCATCACATCTTGAATGTCCTGTGCCTCGATTGTGGTACTCTACAGGTTACTCTATAACTAATTCTTTTCACTTATGACTCACTAGTAGACTTGACAAGGCAGGAGCCATGTCCTGATAGTCATTGGATGCACAGAGCCTGGTAGGCATTGAGTTCTTAATGTATGTTTGCTGAGTGGCAGAATGAGTGGAGGGGCTTGAGCACTGATTCCTGAGTTGCATCTGGCCCCATTGCCCAGCCACAGGCCCAAAGCCCACATCCTGAGACCTGGAATTAGTTAGTCCAACAATAAGAGGACTAACTACGCAGAATGAACCCCAGGATGTTCATTCAGACTTGAACCCACCCTCCATGGTCCATGTGGGGTGGGAGGGGACAACATAAACGTCTGAATGAGTGGTGGCCTGAATGACAGAGACCACGCTGAACTAAAAGCATGCCAGGGCAGAGGATCATGGTCCCCAAACAAACTCCAGCAAGCCTCAGGACCAGCCTGTACACACCCACACCTGCTGTATTACAACTGGCTGGGAAAAGGTACCTGAAGCAGGTTGTGTGGCTCCAGCCGCAGTGAGGCAGGGAGACACAGGTTTGCTGTCACATCACCAGGCGCTGGTAAGTGCAGTTGAGACAGCCATTTTAATCATCGTCTATGCTCCCAGATGAACAAGGAGAGAGCATTTCAGGCATGGCGACCCAACTGAGCCACCTCCCGGGGCAAGAGATGAGCAGATTTAGTTTAGAAAGGATCATCAGCCACTGCCACAGCCCCCCAGATGGTCTGTACTTGGCTGTCAAAACAGTCTTCCTGAATGCCAGTCACACCTGTCCCTCACTGCCCTGCTCAGCACTCTTCAGTGGGCTCCCCAGCGCTCAGTGTTCGGCCTGACACTCCAGGTGCCACGTGCCCTGGCCCTCACCTCCATTGCAAATTCTGGCCATACACCGCTGCACCCCCAAACAGTGCACTCCCTCAGGAGTCCCATCTCAGTTCATATTCTCCCCTTACAACATTTCATCCAAGATCATGGATTCATGGCCTTAAGTTGACCCCTGGTCTGGACTTCTGTGTCAGCTCCAAAGTCCAGTTGTTTCGCTGACTCTTCACTTGGGTGCCAGAGAACACCAGATGTTCCAGACCCTTCGAACTCGACACATCTAACACAGCCACCCCACCCAACCCTCACTTGGCTTGTCTTCCTCATATCACTCAATTTCTCCACCTCTCCCCTGGCTGCTCTGGTGGCTCTCAACTCTGCCCTCTATGTGCATTCAATCCACCACTAAGTCCTGCTGATTCTACCTCCAATGTTTCTCTTTTCTTTTAGAGACAGGGTCTCACTCTGTTACCCAGGCTGGAGTGCAGTGGCACAATCATGGCTCACTGGAGCCTCAAATTCCTGGGCTCAAGAGATCCTCCCACCTCAGCCTCCCAAGTAGCTAGGACTACAGGTGCACAGAACCATGCCTGGCTAATTCTTACTTTTTTTTTTTTTTTTTTCAGAGATAGGGTGTTGCTATGTTGTCCAGGCTGGTCTCAAAATCCTGGTCTCAAGGCAATCCTCCTTCCTTCCTTGGCCTCCCAAAGTGCTGGGATTATAGGCATGAGCCACTGCACCTGGCTTCCAGTGTTTCTCTTACATCCATCCATTCCCTCCCCCTGTATGTCACAACCCTAATCTAAGCCACATCTTCCACCTGGACTACACAAGGGTCTCCCTGCTTCCTCATCTGTGCCCCTCTAAGTACATTCTCACACAGCAGTCAGGGTGATTTTTTTTTTTTTTTTTTTTTGAGATGGAGTTTCGCTCTTCTTACCCAGGCTGGAGTGCAATGGCGCGATCTTGACTCACCGCAACCTCCGCCTCCTGGGTTCAGGCAATTCTCCTGCCTCAGCCTCCTGAGTAGCTGGGATTACAGGCACATGCCACCATGCCCAGCTAATTTTTTGTATTTTTAGTAGAGACAGGGTTTCACCATGTTGACCAGGATGGTCTCGATCTCTTGACCTCGTGATCCACCCGCCTCGGCCTCCCAAAGTGCTGGGATTACAGGCGTGAGCCACCACGCCCGGCCTGGCTCTGTAAAGCGAATCTTATCTGTAAAGCGAATCATGTCACTCCACTGAAGTTGGAATGAATTCCAGGCTTCTAGTTTTAAGGAGCTTCCAGAGGCCAAATCTGGGATCATCTGAGCACCAAAATAATTAAGGTTAATAACGAATTATAAAACTTATTGGAAAATAATAGAAATCTAAGAGTTCCTACGAATAGTGAATCTATAAGTAGGCAGAAGAATGCCAATTGTTGACTAATAAATGTGGAGAGCGTCCTGGGGTTGAGTTACATTCTGTAACCATCATGATTCTTACTCAGGCAAGAATCATCAATAGGTATTACATCTCATCTATTGGCCGGGTGTGGTGGCTCACACCTCTAATCCCAGCACTTTGGGAGGCTGACACGAGTGGATCACAAGGTTGGGAGATCCAGACCATCCTGGCTAACACGGTGAAACCCTGTCTCTATTAAAAATACAAAAAAATCATGCGCCTATAGTCTCAGCTACTCAAGAGGCTGAAGCAGGAGAATTGTTTGAACCCAGGAGGTGGAGGTTGTAATGAGCCGAGATTGCACCACTGGACTCGAGCCTGAGCAACAGAGTGAGACTCTGTCTCAAAATAAAAGAACTCATCTATTTAACTTTTGATGTGAAATAGGATATAGTCACGGTTATAAAATACCTCCTCACAGATTACTTGTTACAAGGAAAAATAGTAAACTCTAGGTTGGAGAAATCAGATAACCTTGACTTGTTGATCAAAATTAAAATCATCAAAGAGGGCCCAGGCACAGTGGCTCACACCTGTAATCCCAGCACTTTGGGAGGCCGAGGCAGGCAGATCACCTGAGGTCAGGAGTTCAAGGCCAGCCTGGCCAATATGGCGAAACCCTGTCTCTACTAAAAAATACAAAAATTAACCAGGCATGGTGGTGGTGGCACCTGTAATCCCAGCTACTCAGGAGACTGAGGCAAGGAGCTTGATCCTGGGAGGTCAACCTTGCAGTGAGCTGAGAGTGCACTACTGCACTCTGGGTGACAGAGCAAGACTCCGTCTCAAAAAAGAAAAATTACCAAGGAAGAACAGACAGATGTGTAGCTTTAGCTGTTATGCTGAGAAGGACACGGTATCAGTTACACAGTCTTCCGGCCAGGAATACATAAACCATATATTGTAATGAAGAAACAGCAGACAAACCCCAAATGAAGAATGTTCTATTAAAATAAAGGGGAAGATTTAATTCTTCCATAATAGCAACACCATACAAGACAAAGAAAGGCCAACCATTCGAGATGAAGGGATAATAGAGAGAAACAACAACTGAATGCAATATATCATTCCTAGACTGGCTCCTGTGCTACAGGGGAAATGCCTTCTAAAGGGCATTACTGAGATAAGTGACAAGATAGGAGGTGAATTAGATACCACACCGCATCAGCGTGAAATTTAATGCGTGGATAACTGCACTGTGGGAGGAAACACACACTATTTAGGGATAGAGGAACATGAGGGCTGCAACTTATTCTCAACTAGAACAGAGTCCAGGTCATCTGCTCGTACCTTAAATAGAAAGAGAGGCAGAGAAACGGGGTAAAATGTGAACACCAGGTGAATCTGGGACAAAGGCTATACAGATGTCCGTTGTACTATTCTTGAGACTTTTCTGTAACTTTGAAATTATTTCCTAATAAAAAGTTAAACCGGAAAATCAAACACCGCATGTTCTCATTCATAGGTGGGTGTTGAACAATGAGAACACATGGACACAGGGAGGGGAGCATCATACATTGGGGTCTGTAGGGGAAGGACAGTGAGGGGTGGGGAGTTAGGGAGAGATAGCATGGGGAGAAATGTCAGCTATAGGTGATGGGGAGGAAGATAGCACATTACACTGCCATGTGTGTACCTATGCAACAATCTTTCATGTTCTTCACATGTACCCCAAATCCTAAAATGCAATTAAAAAACAAAGTTAAATCAGGCAGGGCATAGTGGCTCATGCCTGTAATCTATTTAGGGATTTGTAAGCACTTTGGGAGACTGAGAAGGGTTGATCACTTGAGGTCAGGAGTTCAAGACCAGCCTGGTCCACATGATGAAACCTTGTCTCTACTAAAAATGCAAAAATTAGCCAGGTGTGGTCGGCACCTGTAATCCCAGCTACTCAAGAGGCTGAGGTGGGAGAATCACTTGACCCAGGAGGTGGCAGTTGCAATGAGCCAAGATCACGCCACTGCACTCTAGCCTTGGGACAGAGTAAGACCATGTTTCAAAAAAAAAAAGTTAACCCCCAAACCTCCAGGCTCCTTACTGTGGCCCACAAGGCTCTGCCACCACCCCTGCCCATGCCACCCAGCCTTATCTCAGCCCATCTGCCTGCATGCTCAGCTCTCACTATACTGATTGCCTTTCAGTTTCCCCAACATACCAAGCTCTTTCCCACCCTGGGCCTTTTGTGCCTATTCTTGCCTGTCTATCGAATTCTCCTCCCCCAGCTCAGGTCTCAGGGAGATAGTAATTGTCACTTTCTCACAATGCCTTCTTTGACCACCTTAACCTAATTTACATCTACAATATTCTTTTATGGCACCAAGAACTTTTCCTTCATGGCACTTATCACAGTTTGCAAGAGTATATTTTGGGGGGATTGCACAACATCTGTCTTTTCCAACAGCTTGGATGCTTCCTGAAGCCAGCCCTCCTGTCTGTTCTACTCATGAATGCATCTTTCCACCCCAGCACCTGGACCTGGCATGCAGCTGGGCATTCTGTATCCAGCTGACAGATTAAACAGTGAATTCTACTCTCCAAGTTCACCCCCAGACTGTTGGCAGCTCTCAGAGAACACACTCTGTGGTTATCTCTAGCCCTGAGAACTCATTTAAGAGGCTTCATCTTTGAAGGCTTTCTAGATTCCCCACCACTATGCCGAAATTTGTAACTAAGAGGCCATGGCAAGGAGGAGGTGGCACTCAGGAGGCGAGCCATGTTAGGGGAGAGATCATGAATGAGCCCCAGAGAGGGTGTCAAGGAGGCAGCTGGCTGCTCAGGCTGGCACTCAGAAGGGCAGTCTGGATTAGAATGAGAGGACCAACAGCTGGAGCTGCGTGCATAAAGGAGATCTTCCACAGACCCATGCAGAAGAAAGAGTCCAAGGACAGGGCCCAAAGAAGGCTGACTTAGGGCTAAGAAAAACAGCCCTGGAAGCAAAGAAGCAGTGTCCAGAGAAGTAGGAGTGATATTCAGAGATAGAAGAATAGTTACCAAAAGCTAGAAAGGAGGACATTTAGGCACTAAAGCCTCATACATTTGGATTTTCTTCTTCCTTGTTCAAAATCAGCACTCTGGCACCTGGTGGATGCGGCAGGCTGGTGGGGTTGAGCTTGGACTAAACTAGCCAGGCGTGGCGCCACACATCTGTAATCCCAGCTACTCAGGAGGCTGAGGGATGAGAATTGCTTGAAACTGGGAGACAGAGGTTGCAGTGAGTCAAGATTGTCCCACAGCACTCCAGCCTGAGTGACAGAGTGAGACTCTGGCTTGAAAAAAACAAATAAAAAACTTGGACTGTGTCTGAATCCTGACTTCATAATATATTAATATCAGTTGTATGATCTTGTGTAGTAGACTTGACTTTCCCAGACTCCAAGCCCTCATCTGTGCGTCACTGAGCGGGCTGCTGTCAGGATGACATGTGATCCTCTCTGGAAGGCCCTTTGAGCCATGTTTGGTCTAAGGTCCAGGTAATGAATGACATCGTGGTGCATGCACAGCGGGAGAGGGTGCACTGGTTCCCGGTCACAGGAATGTGTCCTAAGTTCAGCCTTTCACCAATAGCAGTTTCAGACAGAGGTTAAAGAGCCCTGCAACCACCTTCTATTACATGCCCCTTCCTCTGATACCATCCCCAACTAAACATAAAAACATATAGTGGGCAGGTTCCATTTAACATGATCCTTCCTCCAAAGCCTCCTTCTGAAAATCAGTTTTATCCCTGTCCCCAAGGGTGCCCCAGTCATACTATGCCAGAGTGCCCACATGACTGCAATTAACCCTCAGCTAAGAGCATTTTGCACCCTGTTTTCCAGCTCCCCATGGTGACACTCACCTCAACATGGCTACCTTCTGTGGATATAGGTAAGTATTCTCAGGCCCCTTACTTGGGGATACCATGTCTGCCCATAGCTTCTGACCATCCCATCTCTGAAGGCAAGAGAAGTGTGTGGTAACATTTCACAGCTTAGAAAGCACTTCCCAACACAGCCTCCCTTTCATCCTCACGACTGCCCGGTGAGGTAGATACAGCAGGTAACAGCTATAGTGGTTTGCATTGATCAAGCACTTACAATGTACCATGCTCTGTGTGAAGCATTTTCATATGTGATCCTGTCAAAACTCATGAAAACTCTATGAACATGATGTCTGCCACAGTCATCAACCAGTGCCTCCACTTTACAGAAGAGAAAAATGGAGCGGTTTGTAACTTGCCTCAAATCAAAGAGGTAGTAAATAAAATGGAACCAGAATTCAAACCTCAGACTGTCTGACTCCAGAGCCACACTGTTAACTGTCCTACAATATTGCCTCACAAAGCAAGCATTTACTCCCCAGACATTATTCTACCCATTAAATAGAAGCTCAGAGAGGTAAAGTGACTTGCCCAAGGTCTCGCCACCAGGAACTGGTAGAGCTAGGATCCATACTTAGATTCTCTGGCTCGGAGGCCCCTGAAACCAAAAAGGCAAGATTCGATGTTCTAGGTAAAATTTCAGCAGACTTGACTTGACAACGTTGCTCAGCCCAGAGTAGTGTTCCTTTTTCTTTTTTGAGATGGAGTCTCACTCTGTCATCCAGGTTGGAGTTAAGTGGCGCAATCTCTGCTCACTGCAACTTCCATGCCCTAGGTTTAAGCGATTCTCCTGTCTCAGCCTCCTGAGTAGCTGGGACTACAGGTGTGTGCCACCATGCCTGGCAAAAAATTTTTTTTTGTATTTTTAGTAGAGATAGGGTTTTACCTTGTTGGCGAGACTGGTCCCGAACTCCTGAACTCAAGTGACCCGACTGCCTTGGCTTCCCAACGTGCTGGGATTATAGGCATGAGCCACTGCACCCAGACCCAAAGTAGTATTTCTATGTAGGAAATCCCTCCTGTGCATTCATCAGGAAATGTGTATGTTTTTCTGAATCCCAAAAACAATCATCAAGAAATTGGAAAAGCAGGGAAAAGCATTATAATTCTCCTGTGAGAATGAATGCTTCGTAATCAACGTAGAGGCATTTCTGGTTTTTTGTTTTGTTTTGGTTTGGTTTTTGAGACAGAGTCTCACTCTGTTGCCCAGGCTAGAGTGCAGTAGCAAAATCTCAGCTCACTACAACCTCTGTCTCCTGGGTTCAAGTAATTCTACTTCAGCCTCCGGAGTAGCTGGGATTACAGGCTTCCCCACCACGCCGAGCTAATTTTTGCATTTTTAGTAGAAACAGGGTTTAACCATGTTGGCCAGGCTGATCTTGAACTCCTGACCTCAGGTGATCTGCCTGCCTCGGCCTCCCAAACTGCTGGGATAACAGGTGTGAGCCACCGTGCCCAGCCAGCATCCCTGGTTTAAAGAAATCCACTGATGTTAAGTTGAAAGCAAGAGAAGGCCACATTGACAAACGGAGTCTAAGTTAAGGTACTATAATCCCAGCACTTTGGGAGGCTGAGGTGGTTGGATCATTTGAGGTCAGGAGTTTGAGACCAGCCTGGCCAATATGGCAAAACTCTCTAGAAAACACACAAAATTTCGTGACTGTGGTGGCACGTGCCTGTAATCCCAACTACTCGGGAGGCTGAGGCAGGAGAATTGCTTGAATCTGGGAGGCAGAGGTTGCAGTGAGCCGAGATCGCGCCACTGCACTCCAGCCTGGGAGATGGAGCAACACGGTCTCAAAAAAATAATAATAATAAAGTTAAGGTAGACATTTCCAGAATATGGGACAAGAGTACACAGGAGATAAGTAGTCACAATCCTTTCTGTAGCTGTTGACACACTAAAAGTATATTTGGGGCCGGGGCCATGGCTCACGCCTATAATCCCAGCACTTTGGGAGGCTGAGGCGGGTGGATCACGAGGTCAAGAGACTGAGACCATCCTGGTCAACAAGGTGAAACCCCGTCTCTACTAAAAATACAAAAAAAATTAGCTGGGCATGGTGGTGCGTGCCTCTAGTCCCAGCTACTCAGGAGGCTGAGGCAGGAGAATTGCTTGAACCCAGGAGGCGGAGGTTGCCGTGAGCCGAGATCGTGCCACTGCACTCCAGTCTGGGTAATAACAGCGAAAACTCCATCTCAAAAAAAAAAAAGTATATTTGTGGCTCTATTCGCTGAGTCATTCTCACAAATATTAATGTTTATGTGCAGTGTATTTTATACAAATCCTATGAATGATGTTCTAATAACATATTTTGGAAACAAATAAGTCCTTAAATTGGCAATTTCTCTCCCTCTTTTTTTAAGAGGGAGAGTCTTGTGTGCCTAGGCTGGAGTGCAGTGGTGCAATCATAGCTCACTATAGCCTCAAACTCCTGGACTCAAGCGATCTTCCTGCCTTGGCCTCCCAAAGTGCTGGGATTACAGGCATGTGCCACCACACTCAGCCTAAGCTGGCAATTTCAACTCATCATTCTGTGTAGTGTTGCTAATCTTGTCAAATATTTGAACATTTAGCTATTTAAATACTACCCAATAATGTTCTTTGGCATTTTCCAGTTATTGAATATTTGCTATGGCCTACAATTCTTTGTAACTACTATTAAATGTGTATTTCTTATTAAAAATACAGAACTTATGAAAAATATGAAATAACGTTTTCAGGAATTCCCCCAAGTTCCAATTTTTCATTCCCAATTTCTGAAGATTAGTATCCTTTTTAGAAACTTGGAAATCTTAGCCCAGAGGAACTGGATGAACTTCCCAGACAATCCAGTGGGATGGCAAATGAACAGACGTCATCCTCGTTGACCTCCAGGAAGGCTCTACACAGGAGCTGGTGCTGGAGTGGAGCTTCCTTCTCCAACGTCACCCTGGAGATGTCTGAGAAAAGGTCACTCCAGAATTTCATGGGCTGGGCCTAAAACATTGGCTTGAAGCATGAAATTTCTGCGTCATCTCAATCATGCAACTGTTAACTTTCATCCCAGGGAGTATCTGCTCACTTCAGTGTAAAAAGCTTTTTCTATAATTCACCAGAGAAAAATGAATGCTCTCCATAAATGGAGGCCCTGTTAACCCATGGCCTTAACCCCGCTGTGTTCCAGCACGAGAAGCCGCACAGCAGTGGTGGCTGTGGGGTCAGGCAAGCAGGCAGGCAGACCTGCGTCTGAATTCTGGTTCTGCCACATACTGGCTGTGTGACTTTGGGCAGGTTCCTTAACCTCTCAGAGACTCAATTTCTCCATCTGCAAAACGCGGATGAGGATATCCATGCCACAGGGATGCAGTGGGGACTAAATGACATCAGTCACAATGCCTGGTACAGAGTAAGCCTTCAATAAATGGGAGGCGTTATTATTTTGTAGTACAACAGACCCAAGGGTGAAGTCAAGAAGTGAAGAGCTTGGTGAAGGGCCTGGGAACCACCCAAAAGGCTCACTCGCGCTGCTTCTCGGGCAAGGATTCTCCAGGTAGTTTAGGTCACCGGGTCTCCGCGCCTCCAAACGGTTCCGTAGCGAGAGGCGAGCGCCTGGGCTGAAAGGCCACTGGTCCACGTGGGCTCCCAGGTTGGCCTGTGAGACTGGCCCCCTGGTGGAAGCGCCTGATGCACATCCTCGGGCGCAGGAGGTCACCCAGCGCCGGCGTCCCTAAAGCCTGGAGGGCAAGGCGGCTACCGCGCCGGGGTCTCTGCGCTTGCGCAGGCTTCGACGCATGCGTGGACGTCCGAGTGCCACGTCGGCGTCGCGCGGTGCAGTGGAAGGCGCGAGGCCTGTTCCCGCCACATCTCTGACCCCTGTGGACCCGGAGGCTCAGCACCAGCGGGACTGCGGACTCGGCGCCTCTTCCGGGGTGGAAGACGCCTCGCATGGCACACTGGATCCGCTGGGCGGGTGGCCGTGCGGGTGCGTGAGGAGGTGGACGAGGCAGCCCGGTGTACCCCTCCCTGGTACTCGCGGGCGGCTGGGCCTCTTGCAAGGCGGCCTCGGGCGCTGGGTGTGGTCCGAGTTCTGCCTCAAGCCCTTCCCACGCATTCGGGTGCCGGTGGCTAGCCAGTTGGTGCTGTGGCCTTAGGTTTGGGCAGGTGTAGGGCCGCTCGCCCCGATGTTACCGCGGTGGGTGAGCTAGGCAGCTCTTTCCGCCCTTAGGGCACAGGTAGTGGCTGGATCTTGGGGCAACCAAGGGAGGCTTTAGGGGCCTTGGCTTGCTTGGGGAGCCCACTCACCTCCCCTTACCCTGCGGGATCGTCCTGGGTGCCCTCGGGGACTTGCTGCCTCCCCCGGGAGCTCTGGTGTCCGGCACCGCGGTGGAAGTGGGCCGGGCATTTGTCCGGAGGCCCCTCCTGGGCAGGAGCCTCCTGAGGGGCTCTGTCTTCAGCCCCTTTTCGTGAAAGGCTCTCCTCGTCATTCTCACTCGTGAATCCTGCAAGAAGAAAAGAATCTGAGTAGTGTTTCCTCTTCTTCTCACCCTGCTGACTTTCCACAAACCTGCCCCGTTTAGGACTTCTTTTTTTTTTTTTTTGAGACGGAGTTTCGCTCTTGTTACCCAGGCTGGAGTGCAATGGCGTGATCTCGGCTCACCGCAACCTCAGCCTCCTGGGTTCAGGCAATTCTCCTGCCTCAGCCTCCAAAGCAGCTGGGATCACAGGCACGCACCACCATGCCCAAATTGCTTTTGCAAACGATTAAGTTCTGTATATTTGACAGCAGGCAGAGGGTGAGGCAAGGCCTTGTAGGAAACCTATAGAACCTCAGCTTTTGAAATTAGTACTGGGTTTGAATCCCAGTTCCAACCATTACTTGTAGTGTAATCATGGGCAAGCTACCTAACTTCTTCAGCTGTAAGAGACAGCGGTAACGGCAGCCTCAAAGGTTCTGTCAGTGTGGTTGGTGTATCCACAGGCCATCAGGGATGTGTTAAATTGGAAAGATAAATATAAACCTTTACCTTTAAGAAAATTTTTGGCCAGGCATGGTGCAGTAGCTTATCCCTGTAATCCCAGCACTTTGGGAGGCTGAGGCGAGTGGATCACCTGAGGTCAGGAGTTCAAGACCAGCCTGACCAATATGGTGAAACCCTGTCTCTACTAAAAATACAAAAATTAGTCGGGTTGTGGTGGCACGCACCTGTAATCCCACCTACTCAGGAGGCTGAGACAGGAGAATCGCTTGAACTAGGGAGGCAGAAGTGGCAGTGAGCTGAGATTGCACCACTGCACTCCATCCTGGACAACAGAGCAAGACTCTGTTTGGAAAAAAAAAATTTAGAAGAGCACGGTGGTTTAGCCTGTTATCCCAGCACTTTGGGAGGGAGGCCAAACAAGGATGATTGCTTGGGTTCAAGGTTAGCCTGGGGCCAGGCTTGGTGGTTCATGCCTCTAATCCCAGTACTTTGGGAGGACAAGATGGGCAGATCATTTGAGGTGAGAAGTTCAAAACCAGCCTGGCCAACATGATAAAACCCCGTCTCTACCAAAAATATAAAAATTAGCTAGGCATGGTGGTGTGGAACCTGTAATCCCAGCTACTATGCTGAGGCAGGGTAATTGCTTGAGCCTGTGAGGAAGAGGTTGCAGTGAGCTGAGATTGCACCATTGCACTCCAGCCTGCGTGACAGAGTGAGACTCCATCTCAAAAAAAAAAAAAAAAAAAAAAAGGACCAGCCTGGGTAATATAGCAAGATTCCATCTTTATGAAATATTAAAAAATTAGCCCAGCATGATGGCATGTGCCTGTAGTCCCAGCAATTGGGGTGGGGGATGGGGTGGCAAGGTGAGAGGATCACTTTAGCCTGAGAGGTCCAAGCTGCAGAGAGCTATGGTCACGCTACTGCACTCCAGCCTGGGCAACAAAGCGAGAACCTGTCTATCTCTTTTTTTAAGACAGAGTCTTGCTCTGTTGCTCAGGCTGGAGTGCAGTGCTGCAATCATAGCTCACTACCTCAAACTCCATATCTGAAGCGGTCCTCCCATCTTAGCCTCCCAAGTAGCAGGGATTTACAGGTGCACATCATGCCTGGTTAATGTTTGTATTTTTTATAGAGATGGGGTTTTGCCATGTTGTCTAGGCTGGTCTTGAACTTTTGGGCTCAAGTAATCTGCCCACTTCAGCCTCCCAAAGTGCTGGGATTACAGGTGTGAGCCACTCGCCTGGCCAAGACCCTATCTCTTTAAAAAATTCATTTTCAACTGTCGTCACTGAGTGAAATTTTGCCACCCTGCTAACACTTATGTATGTCCTTAATACTCAGTTAGTTGTTGGTACCTAATAGCATTGATCATTAAAATAACCAGGAGTAGGAGTTCTTGGAGGGTAGCTGATTACATTTTTTTTTTTTTGAGACGGATTCTTACTCTGTTGTCCATGCTGGTTGGAGTACAGTGGCTCCATCTCAGCTCACTGCAAGCTCTGCCTCTCAGGATCAAGCAATTCTCCCACCTCAGTCTCCCAAGTAGCTGGGATTACAGGCACCTGCCACCATGCCCCCCGAATTCTTTTGTATGTTTTTAGTAGAGACGGGGTTTCACCATGTTGGCCAGGCTGGTCTTGAACTCCTGACCTCAGGTGATCCACCTGCCTTGGCCTCCCAAAGTGCTGGGATTACAGGGGTGAGCCACTGTGCCCTGTCTGATTACATTTCTTGAGACAAGAAAAATCAGGATGGGTTTATAGCATCCTGTTAATACCAGGAAAAAAAAATACACACACACACACACACACAGAGTTTTGCTCTTCTTGCCCAGGCTGGAGTGCAATAGCGCAATCCTGGCTCACCTCAACCTCAACCTCCGCCTCCAGGGTTCAAGCGATTCTTCTGCCTCAGCCTCCCATGTAGCTGGGATTACAGGCATGTGCCACCACACCTGGCTAATTTTTGTACTTTTTTAGTAGAAGTGGGGTTTCTCCATGTTGATCAGCCTGGTCTAGAACTCCCTCCCCACCTTGGCCTCCCAAAGTATTGGTATTACAGGCATGAGCCACTATGCCAGGCTGGTAAGGATATTTTCTTTCTTCTTCTTCTTCTTCTTTTTTTGAAACAGAGTCTTGCTCTGTTGCCTAGGCTGGAGTGCAGTGGTGCAATCTCAGCTCACCGCAACCTCCATTTCCTGGGTTCATGTGATTCTCCTGCCTCAGCCTCCTGAGTAGCTAGGACTACAGGTGCCCACCACCACCACGCCCAGCTAATTTTTGTATCTTTTTTTTTTGAGATGGAGTTTCGATGTTGTTACCCAGACTGGAGTGCAATGGCAGGATCTCGGCTCACCGCAACCTCCGCCTCCTGGGTTCAAGCAATTCTCCTGCCTCAGCCTCCTGAGTAGCTGGGACTACAGGCGTGCACCACCATGCCCAGCTAATTTTTGGATTTTTAGTAGAGATGGGGTTTCACTGTGTTGACCAGGATGATCTTGATCTCTTGACCTCGTGATCCACCCGCCTTGGCCTCCCAAAGTGCTGGGATTATTAGGTGTGAGCCACCATGCCCAGCCAAGTTTTTGTATCTTTAGTAGAGATGGGGTTTCACCATGTTGGCCAGGCTGGTCTCGAAGTCCTGACCTCAGGTGATCCACCCGCCTCGGCCTCCCAAAGTGTTGGGATTACAGGCCTGAGCCACTGTAGTTGCCAAAGATGACTGCTACTAGCTGTAACAATTTTAATCATGCTTAAGTAAAATGTCTGGGAAACGATGTCTTTAACTCCTTAAAAGTAGAAAGTTATGATAGTCTTCAAAAAGGTAATTGTACTCTCTAATAAAGGTAATAACAATAAAATATAATTTGACAACTGTTGTCAATAGAAGTGTTAATATATGGGCATTTTGTTTCTTCTGTTTTTCTTCCTGAGGAGTAAATGTAAACTTGTATTTATCTGTGCAAAAAGGAAAGAATAGAACGAGAGAACTGTGTCCAGTAACCCTGGGAAAAGCAAACCTCCACCGTGACTGGACAACACTTACGAACCTGTAAAGTGACCGGGTAGGAGATTTCAGTAGTTTGTTCTGAATAGTAGTCTGATGATGAGTTACTCGTGTGCCCTAATGAGAACTAACTTAAACACGCCTCAGAAAATAGTTCTCAACCTAGGAAACTTTAAAGAAATACTGATATTTAGGTCCCTTCACAAAAGATACCCAGATTTCTTAAAAGGGGTTAGTATCCAGAGTGTATAAAGAACTCCTGCAACTCAACAAGAAAAAACCCAACTTAAAAACATGGCAAATAGCTGGGCGCAGTGGCTCACGCCTGTGATCCCAGCACTTTGGGAGGCCTAGGTGGGCGGATCACTTGAGGTCAGGAGTTTGAGACCAGCCTGGCCAACATGGTGAAACCCCATCTCTACTGAAAAAACAAAGTTAGCTGGGCCTAGTGTTGCATGCCTATAATCCCAGCTACCTGGTGTTGCACACCTATAACCCCAGGCTGAGGGAGGAGAAGAATCCCTGGAATCTGGGAGGTGGAGGCTGCAGTGAGCTGAGATTGTGCCACTGCACTCCAGTCTAGGCAACAGAGCAAGACTCCATCTCAAAAAAAAAAAAAAAAAAAGAAAAGAAAGAAAAAGGCCAGGCACGGTGGCTCACGCCTGTAATCCAAGCACTTTGGAAGCCAAGGCAGGTGGATCACAAGGTCAGGAAATGGAGACTATCCTGGCCAATATGATGAAATCCTGTTTCTAATAAAAATATAAAAATTAGCTGGGTATGGTGGCGTGTGCCTGTAATCCCAGCTACTCAGGAGGCTGAGGCAGGAGAGTCGTGTGAACCAGGGTGTTGGAGGTTGCAGTGAGCTGAGATAGTGCCACTGCGCTCCAGCCTGGGTGAGAGTGAGACTCCATCTCCAAAAAAAAAAAAAAAGCAAAGGACTAGACATTTATCCAAATAAGATATACAGTGGATGAGAAACAAGCACATGAGAAAACGCTCATCACTAATCATTAGGGAAATGCAAATCAAAGCCATAGTGATATCATCACCTGACACCCAACAGGATGGCTACTGTCAACAAAAAGTAAGTGTTTGGTGAGAATGTAGAGAAATGGAAACCCTTGTTCACTGTTGGTAGAAATGTAAAATGGTGTAGGTGCTATGGGAAATAGGCAAGTTCTCAGAAACAATCTAGCAATTCCAGCTGCTGGGTATATACCAAAAATAATTGAAAGCAAGGTCTCAAAGATATTGAAACACCCATAGCAGCAGTATTCACAGTAGTAAAATGAGGGAAGTGCCAATTGACAGATGAGTGGGTAAACAAAGTGTGGTATTAACATACAGAGGAATGTTATTCAGCCTTGAAAAGGAAGAGAGTTCTGACTCATGCTATAACATGGATGAACCCAGAGGACATCATGTTAAGTGAAATAATCTAGCCACAAAAGGATAAATACTGTATAATTCCACTTATATGAAATACCTAGAGCTGTCAAATTCAT